AAGCACGAGGGCAGGTGGAAAGAATTTGGAAGTACTTTGTCGAGGAAGACAAAAGGATGAAGAGTAATAACAAGGGAGGAGGGGGCAAACAATGAAGAAGACTGTGCAAGAGGAGATGGAGTGGAGGATGTTGGGAGAGATGAAGGGGTGTATTCTGAAGGTTGGGTGATGACCTGGTTGAGTGATTCTGAATGATTAAAGTTAACAGCAAGTATCAAGAATGGGGGTATTAGTATCAGTGGTCGGAGTCGTGATCAAAGGAGAAGCAGGGGTTGTGGCCTGAGGCCTATGGGACGTCATCCCTACATTGAGCCTCAGTCCCCATCTCCTACAACCCACATGATAACAACAGGCATAGATTGGGGGGACATACATTTCTTAAATACATCGGTAGGTCTTAATGGTAATTGTTCCAAGAGTGATGCACCTCCAGAGGCAAAGTACCAAAAACAGGGTATCATACAAGCCTAAAAATCCAAAACTGACCTTTCATATCTTCATTTATTCCCTACACCAGGAGGGCAAGGCCCCTTGTACCCCCCAATTATTAGCACTTTGTGTCAACTTATAGAAAACAGACATTAAAATGCCCGTGTGAGGGTGTCGTGGAACTCTGAGTAGTGATATGCAGAGAATATTTTTGTCATTTCGTCACTTGATGCCAATGCAGCTGTACCTACATTATTTTTTACTATATTTCTTGTGCTCTATATGAGGGCAGTGTCCATTTCCCCCTATCTCTGTGTATCAATTCTGGTAATTTATACCATTTCAACTGTTGGCAAGCTTATGTCTAGCCTCTTGCACAACAATGACTAATATCTTACTGCAAGTTGAGAGAAAAGTCTAAATAAGAGAAAGTTAGAACAAACTTCTGAAAATGCACAAGGCCTGAAATATAAACCCTTTACTCAAGCACTGTTAACATCCCATGACTGGGTTATGTGAAAGAAAGCTGGGAATTTGGAAATGGAAATTTATTTTCTCTGCAATGAACTGTTAACTATTTTATACTAATTTTGGTCATGTCTATTTTACTGGATATGCCTTAATATTTTCATTTCTAAATTGATCACCTTTTAATTTAATTTTATTGATTCTTAAATTTGAAATATTAAAAAATGACAACTGTTCCTACAATACCATACTAATCTGAAACCTGCAAATATTTTGCCTTTATTTTAACATGTTTATATTTTGTATTTGTTTCCTTTCATTTCTTCCTCTTGAGCAACAAAAAACAATTTATTTTCATTACTAACCCACATGGTATATGCCTTGTTCACATTAGATGCGTCTGTCAGTATTGTTTATGCACAGATGGTTCACCAGTGCTCAATCACCAGTCAAATGCCTACTTGACCTCCCCTGCCCTTTCCTTGAATGTTCAGATTTTAAAAATATTTTTCTAATGTTAATATCATCTTTATAAAGGTTACCAATATTATCACTGACATTATCATCAGCATAATATTATTAACAAAACATCAGAAAATACAAGGAATTGGACATATCTATGAGATCAAATAAGCCTAGTAACTGACTCCCTGCTGACCATGCACTTGTGGAGCCATCTATGTGTAAACAAATTTGAGAAACTAAAATCCTCCACTGCCAGTAGGTTAATATGAACCAGTATTGGGACTACATAGGTGAAATGCCCAAATTAAATCAAAGCAAATTCCCATGGAAACTGCTAATTGTCACTCCTAGGCTTTAACTATCAATTTCATTGCAGGATTATCATCATAAGTAATTATGACTTGGAATCTCTTCCATTATGCTGATCCCTCCTCAGTTGAGTCAGCTGTGTAGAATATCTCTTCATGACATAGAGACTGCAACAAGAGATAATCAGTTTTATGGTCTCTTACATTAATATTATATCATATATGAAAACTTTATTCCATCAGACAAGCTATGTAGACCTTCCTCAATCTCAATTTCATTCCTGTAGTCATGACAAAAAAATCCTGTTTACATTAAATTTTCATATTTTACCATATTTGAAATATAAGAGGAACTTGCTCATCATCATGCATTAAATCTGAAATAATTTTTAAGTAAGTTCTTTTATTAACAATTCATTATTATTCTCTGATGCCCTGTCCAAGCAAAACATCAAAGCTACTTCCCTTGAATATTAATCATGTTTGCCTAACACCCTAAAGCAGTGATTCCTAATCTTTTTCATTCTGTGGCCTCTGAACAATATATAATAATCTCCCGGGCCTAGTTCAGTGACTCATCATTTCAGATTCAGTTATTACTTGTTACGAATCATGTAATGGTATCAATAACTGTAGGACAAGAACACTTTACGGAAAGATTCCAATTTGTTGATGTGAGAGATTATATTTAGGTACTGCTGGTGAGATGAAATTAAGTTTAGTTTGATGCCACAGTTTTTATACTGCTACATGGCACCACAGAAAATACCCTGTGGCTCCTCTGGTGGCCATGGCTCTCAGGCTGGGCACCCCTGCTCTAAAGAAGTATAATGTGCTGAGATCACAAAAGACTAATTGTATTGTTTGATCTTAATAGGAGGAAATTTTGACTAAGGAAAGGGCAGACATCCTATAATGAGAAATATTAAAGTCTGCTACAGAAATAGATTAGACTTGCAATAAACGCAATACCCAGAGACAAAGATTATTGGATATATATGGGTAAGTGATTTTATACTTGACATAATTTCAAGAAACCCAATTTTGGTTTACAGCTAGTATCAAATTAGAAATTGTAACAACAGGAACATAATCCAGAGGTAAAATTAAAAGTATTATAAGTCTGATACAGAAGGATAATGTTAGCATAATGTCAATGCTTTGATATTTAAATGATCTAACCCTGGTTGGTAGATAAGTATAATGCTGTATCTTTATAATTATTCTAATCATACAGAGGTCACATAGGTTTCAATTTTTAATTTCATAATTGAGCCTACAGACTCCTATTCACTTAGTTTTAGTGTTTCTGGAAATTTCTGTTTGCTAATAACTAAGACACCCATGGATGAGGTAACATAACCTGACCATTCCAAGGTTAATTTGTATTCCTAAGAGTACCAATAAATACTAGTGCTAATCTTTTAAATATACTATACCAATTACTGAAGTAAGAAATGACAGCAACACTTTTTAAACAATTCCTTTAAGCCCTGTTAACAAAGTGTTTTTTGGACCAGTAATACTTAAGAGATATTGCTGGTAGGTTTAGTATTCTTTAACATGCCACTGTCAAGGGGAAGAAACGTGTGCAAATTGACTTTTCAGGTGTAAGAAATAAAAAAGGAGAATCCCTTACCAGATGAACAACTCTGCTAATTCATCAGACTTTTAACTGCTTTGTGGATACTACCTAGAAAGATAATTATCAATGTATCTGTTTCTGCTCTATAAAATAAATACCTTAACAGATGTATGTATTAATCTGCACTTTAACTCCTATGAGTAATATAAGCTTTCATAGTTATTCCCTTATTAGCAACAAAGTGGCATCCTTATGAAGTTTCTCAGTCCTTATGGCAAACATAAAAGTTGAAAATTTATTAACTGTGGCAGGTCTGAAACATTTGTATTTGCAGTTAATTACTTGAACAACAAAATACAAAACTATCAAGTCAAAATTTGTTTTTCGGAATCATGTAGGTAATAATGTTAAATTCTGTTTAAAAATAAGAATGCATTTCAACGTAGCAACTTCTCATTAACAGTGCAATACATACTGAAAATTACTGAACACAAAAACTAAAATCTTTAAAAATAGTATGCTTCTACAGAAGCTAAATCATGATTTTTGTTCTACTGAAAGGTATACGTTTTGCACCATTGTTTTAGTTTTGCCTATCTTACTTTGATTTTTATCATTACCAAGAATAGAAACGATCACTTGCTTCCAAATACCAATTTTGTTGATACATGCATTAACAACCATACTAATATATTTTGTTAGATGTTTTATACGTTTCCCTTACACTCTTCAGTAAACAAAACGTTATCCCTTATTTACTGTTAATGACAACCTTCCACTTTCCCTGTAGAATATTTCCAGCAAGTTCTGCTTCAATCCGGACATTTTGATTCAGTGAATAAAGTTATAACACTGAATAAACAAGATTTACTGCTGTATCTCAATGAATCTTCAACAAGACAGTAGATAAATTATAACCCTCTTTACCCTAGCTACGATTATAACAGTTACCTTCATGACTTGCTTGACAATTATGGTCGACTCAATACGTAATGAAAACAAGGCCTGGGTGTTTGCTTCCATACACGTTCCTTCCCTTGCTCTCGACTTCTTAGAATGGGACCCAAGCTACTGAACTGTTTGAAATGCATACTTATGCTTGTTAGATCGTTGAAGCAGAAATAGGTATTTGTAATACTGCCATATGGTTTTACTTTTAAGACGTTGTTTAACTATCTGATTATTTATCCTGTGGCATTAAATGGCTTATTAGACGGCTCAACCGTGTCCATACACGTATGTTAACTACAAGAATGGAGATCTTCACGATACATATGTATTTGACTGGGTTCGATTTCATCTTATGAAATACATGCACTTCCGACGAAGGTAGAACATTGCATTATGTTCTCATTCACTTTTTTCTTACGCAACAGTAATAGAACACTAGTTGAAGGCAATGATAATTAAGTGCTTATACATACAAGGTAAAATAAGTTTCCTAAATCATTTCTATTGCAATGCATTACTTTTCTTGACCTACGAAGCAATATGGACTAGGCATCAATGGAAAATAACTGCGCAGATTACTGGTCAAGTTGGCATGAGCTTCCATCAAACTTGCTTTTCTGGTGACCACCTTAAGCTAGTTATTTTCAATTACCAGTGCACAGCTGAATTAGTTTAATACTTTTCATGAGGGTAAACTCAGTTACAGTGCATTACTCAATTTTCTTGCTTACCAGTAGTGTAATGTAGGTGACCAGATTGCTCTACATTTTTTTGGAATAAAAATCAAAGCAGGCTTTATTTTTACGATTGGTTTCAGATTTATATATGCTCTTTTCCACATTACATAGAAATGATTTATATACGCTCTTTTCCACATTACATAGAAATGGATAAATAAACACCAGATTGTGCTATAAATCATATTACAAAAAATATAGAAAGAAATGGAAGAGAAACTTTGTTCTTATTTGATGCCAATGAAATGAGAGGGAATGTACAATGCATGATCAACCAAGGAAAAATTCGCTGGAGATAATAGCTGATCACGATAGAAGTGACTACAAGTTTAGGCATATTCGCCTTCCATTTCACCCTCCTCTTCGAACTCAGCCTCGTCATCGGCGGTGGCTTCCTGGTATTGCTGGTACTCGGATACCAAGTCGTTCATGTTGGACTCGCCTCAGTGAACTCCATCTCATCCATACCCTCACCAGTGTACCAGTGAAGGAAAGCCTTTCGCCTGAACATAGCAGTGAATTGTTCGCTGACACGCTTGAAGAGCTCCTGGATGGCAGTGGAGTTACCGATGAAGGTAGAGGCCATCTTGATACCTCGTGGAGGGATATCGCACACGGCGGTCTTTACGTTGTTGGGGATCCATTCAACGAAGAATGAGGAGTTCTTGTTCTGGATGTTGTACATCTGTTCGTCAACCTCCTTCATGGACATACGGCCACGGAAGATGGCGGCGACTGTCAGGTAACGGCCGTGGCGAGGATCGCAGGCAGCCATCATGTTCTTGGCATCGAACATCTGCTGGGTAAGTTCTGGGACAGTGAGGGCCCTGTATTGTTGAGAACCACGGGCGGTGAGAGGAGCAAAACCAGGCATGAAGAAGTGAAGACGAGGGAAGGGACCATGTTGACAGCCAACTTCCTGAGATCAGCATTGAGCTGACCTGGGAATCTGAAGCAGGTGGTGACACCGGACATTGTGAGGGAAACGAGATGGTTAAGGTCACCATAGGTGGGGTTGGCCAACTTCAACGTTCTGAAGCAGATATCGTATAGAGCTTCATTATCGATACAGTAAGTTTCATCGGTGTTTTCTACGAGCTGATGGATTGAGAGGGTTGCGTTGTAGGGTTCTACGACGGTATCAGAAACCTGTAAATGGAAGAGTTCAACGATTAGCAATAAGCACCTAATGCTCTTCAGTGCTTACGAGCACTCATTAACAATTTACTTACATGTGACACCGAACTAACCGAAATTACACTACTCATACTGACGCAACAACACAAGATATTTTATTTATATTCATACTGAATTACCGAAATATATACAAACCTTGGGTGAGGGGACGACTGAGAAAGTGTTCATGATCCTGTCGGGGAATTCCTCGCGGATCTTAGAGACGAGAAGAGTACCCATGCCCGAGCCGGTGCCACCACCGAGAGAATGTGTTAGTTGGAAGCCCTGTAAGCAGTCACACTTTTCTGCTTCCTTGCGGACAACATCGAGGACAGAGTCTACGAGTTCAGCACCTTCTGTGTAATGACCCTTAGCCCAGTTGTTTCCAGCACCACTCTGACCTGTTGGTAAAAGAATAAAACATGAAAAAATGTTCATATATCTTTTATACGAGAAACACTCGTGTAACATTTTAAGACGTACGCAAAACCTAAACAGAACACTACTTACGAACACAAGCTGTCTGGCTTGAAGAGAGCGCCATGAGGTCCTGACCTGACACTGTCCATGGTACCAGGCTCCAGATCAACAAGGATGGCACGAGGCACATACTTGCCCTGGTTACCTCATTGTAGTAGACGTTGATGCGCTCCAACTGGAGCTCCATCAAGTCCTTATCAGTACCAGTGTATTCACCAGTGGGCTGGATGCCATGTTCGTCACTGATGATTTCCCAGAACTGGAAAAGAAAAGGTTGGGTTACTAAGACTGGCGAACACGATCGTCTCATTGATACTAGAATTTCAAAGTTTCTGCAAAACACAAAAGTATCAACTATACGATCAACAACAAATTTGTGCAGGTCGAGAGTCGGGCGGATTTATATATACCGATTTCAAATTAGCATACTGAAGCTTCCGTGCTTATATTTTGAAGAACCTTAGTCGAAGTGCAGTTCCTATGCACTTCCTTAGCCGTTCCAGCATCTTTCCCGCCGCCCTCCAAGTCACCTACAGGACACGGGTTGCACGACCCCCGGGACCTCCCACCCCCGTGCTTTCACCTGTTCCGCGCCCTGTTGCCTCAAACCCGGCGAACCGCTTATCTTCCCGCGAGACCCTCCCGCGTCGCTGGCCTCTTATCGAAGTAGGTGTAACGTTCTTATCTGCCGGTGTTAACAGCAGCCGAAAAGCAAAGGTAACGCGAGAAGGGTTGGAGTGGCGGCGGCGGTGGCGGCATGCTGGTGGCGGGCGTGGCGGCGGCATAACGGTCGGCGCGAGACAATGGCGAGGGCGGGAGGGGCCGTAACCGCCGCCCGCCGCCGCCACCTCTGCGATCGATACCTAAGTCCTTCTAATTCCTCCTTATTATGGTGGATCAAGGGTTTATATTCATAATTCGACACGCGAGATCAAAGTCCAATGTTCGCCTTGTTGATTCACTTCTCTTTCGGCACCTTCTAGAAGCTTTGAAATTTTGCAAAAAGTAAAGATATGAAGGTTTTCCGACTGCTATTTTCAACACTTGATACATACTTCAAATTACTTTAAATGACATTAACTGAGCAACAAGTCATTCGATTATTTAGCTGCAATCACATGACATACGAAATATCCGGCAAGATCTGGTAGCCATTGTAGTCACCGGCGTCGTCTTATCAACCGGCAGTTTTCCCGGAAAATTTTCAATCTTCTTCCAAAAATCGTCCACAATTGACTTCACAAGACACAATACACTTCATATCTTACCTTTGTACCAATCTGGTTGCCGCACTGGCCGGTCTGTATGTGAACAATTTCCCTCATGGTGACGTGTGACTGCTCGCTGGTCCTTCACAGCAGCTTCTGACTGAGGCTTCGGCGGCGGCGAGCCGCGAAGGTGGCGGTGCGGCTGCCGGGGGTCGCCCGAGAACCCAACTCTCTCCTTTTCACTGTCAATTATTGATTCTCCTTTGTTCTTAATATTTCTGAAATAGAATTCGACAGGCTATTATATTTAAGATTAATACTATAAACTTAGTTTAATTTTTCCTTTTGCTGAGATGTTTTACTGTATAATTTGGATTTTTACTTGACACCTGGAGTTCCCGGGAATATTTGAATCGCAGCTCGCGAGGCTGAGGGGCCCTACTCGGGGTGTCCTCTCACAGGCATGCGGAATTTTAGATAGATAATTTATTACGGCGAAAGTTCACCATACTCATTTTCTTGACTAGTATCATACGATATTTTCTATACTGAAGTTTTCATGTCTATTTTCTGAAGTAGCATAGCGAACAAATAATTGGTATAATTGTCAAGATTGTTCACAGGGGCTTACACTCACTCGAATGTAGAACAGCCTTGACTTTCCCTGCGAGTAACACAAGATTTAAAGGCTGGTTCTCCTGTACATATATGGATATGACCAAAACCTTGTTAGGAAAAGCAATACGGAGATCAAAAGGCAGCCTATATTACAAGGGGCAGGAAGGAATCGACAGATGAATGAGCAACACTAATCTACAGACTAACAACAATCAAATGCAGAAAATACTTTTTTTTGTCATCTAACAGTTGTCAGTCACATAACAACAGAAAAGTATATGAAAAAGTGTGTAATGCCTGTACTAGCGTTTCCTACATAAGATTACCCAATCCTCTATTTTTGAATATGACCAAAGTAACGAACATTCCTTCCAGTTAACCAAACACTGATAAAGTAATTGCAAAGTGAAATATGGGTTATTTATGCAATCATGATATTTTGCAGAGGTTACGTATTCATATAGTGTGAAAATTTGATACAGTGAACAATACTTTGGCTACGTTCATTGTTTTGATAATGTACAAAATTACAATTTCAACGAAATACTTGGCATCTGCCTTTCATGTTTGTAACGGACTTTATTTCTATGCGATGCCCTATCATGTGTTCTAGAATGATCGGGACGCTTATTTTACTAATATAGACATAATGACTTCTTTTCTCTGTATAGAAAGTAAAATAAAACAAGACATAAAATGTGGAAGTTTAAATGCGGTTCTGGTGAGTTGATTTTCACCGTAAAGAGTTAGGCAAAGGTCAGACATCCGCAGCTTCACTTGTTTTTACCAACATATTACCGGCATTTTTTCTCCGCTAATAATCGGGTGTTTAAGATTAGATACGCGTGGTATATTCACGGAGGCTTTCATGAGGTAAAAAACACTTCTATGATTAAGTAAAAAAAATCATTTACCTCAAAAGAAATGAAGAGGCTTGGTTCTTTATTGTAAGAGAAGTTGGTAACACTGGTCTTGCCGCAGCCCGTGTCTGAATCACCTGCTCCTGTTTTCCCGATTTCTGTCTTTTATTATATCATTCAAAGCTTGTGATCATTCACTGTTAATTCGTTACATACCAGGTACTTGTGGGGTATAAGTAAATACCGGATGATGCAAGTGAGTGTTTAGAAAAAATAATGTTTATATAGGACCGGCAACGCGAGAAGTGTGCTTGAGTTGCAACCTATTGATTAAATTGCAGGGACGTCGCCAGTGATTCACTACTTTGAATAACTACTACTGTTAATGGACAATAAGTTTCTTATGAATAGATGCAGTGTTTTAAATGAATTCGGAAGGGGAAATTAAAACCCACCCTCAAAGGGGAAGTTTAGCGCGATAACGACTAGCTTCACAAACAAGAATGTTGAGTTTTGAGTGATGGCTGAAAAGTAGCTTGAATTCGGAAATGCATGCACTGAGAATTAAGCTTTCATTTTCAGGATATGCATCTGCAGCGTATTTATGAACAATTTAATCCACAAGCAAATTCATATGCAACACTGTCAACCCTTAACAGGCATATATTTGCATGAAAGATTATTCGTAACATTCAATAGCAAGAGAGGAGTCTTTCAAAGAAAATCATTAAACATCTGTGACATAATACAGAGATCCTTGCATGACTCATGCGTTATGGACCTGGAGGGGAACCATGAAAGGGGGTTTTAGGTGGGTGTTTGACGTGACACTTCTGGATGCAGCTGGATGCGGTACAAGGACGTTTCACCTAAGCGACCATTGGGTTATTTATGTTGACTGTTAATCGTTACAACATTCAGAATTTTTAGAAACAGTCGTAGTAAGATGTGAAGTGTAATAAACGTGGCAAGTGTTGGAGCCGGTGTGGGGAAAGTCTGATGTGAGACCCGCCCCTTTCACTCGCCAGGAGTACACACGATTTTTCACCATTTAAATGTACCGGGCATAGTTCTAGTAGGTTTCTACATGCAAAGGACAAACTCCCTGTCACTTACGACTATTTACATATTATCATGATTTATATATGAGAGAACTAATAACAAAATTGGGAAATTGTAGGTTACATCCTATGAGGATCTTAGAGAAGGGAGTCAAAGTCGGCCCGACGCCACAGTTTCCTCCTGTTCTAGAATGCCTTGCATTAAATAGTTATGAGGTAGCCGATGAGACATGACTCGCCCAGCCTGTTCGATAATGGTCTTAGACTTTTCTAGAAATATTCTCTGGCCTATAAACTCACTCTTAGTGTTCATCAGGAATTTGTTGGCCTATGGTAAAGTATACCTTGGGAGTAACAATCGTATTAATACAAGAGCATCTGTATGCTACTAGCGTAAGAGTGGGCTACCAAATCCTGTTTGTGAGCCTGCAGGACCATGTTTGACAAAAAGATTCTGTGACAGTAGCGAGCCGGCTTCCAGAGACAAATGGCATACATCATGTGTGTGAAGCATTTGTCTTAGCTAATAACAATGCGTTATCCCCATCGGTTCAGTATGACATAGATTAAGTATGCGATTACTAATCCTTCTGTTAGATAACATTCCAGGTGTGTAATATCCACCTCTAGCGGAAAAAATGTGCTTGTCAACTTTAGGATTGTATGTAAATGTATTGTACCTCATTTTTTCGGTATTAAAATTGCACGATTTTATACCGAAGTGCATAAACAACATGACATACGATGTTATGAACAAAAAATTATGTTAAGCAATATAGTAAATCATAGTGATATTTAAATGTAACAAGAAAATATTTTGTTGTGAATCATCACCTCACTGCATGAGTAAAAGAACTCATTCTCTCAACTCGCAGACAAGGCTAGGACTCATTAGGAGTCAGTGTATCTGTGAGTGAGTGTAGGTCGATGTGGGGAGACGGTGCCGGGAAGTCTGCACGTCATTCTGGCGAGCTTACTCAGCCCCGCCTAAACTGGGAAGTACTTGGGACAAAATACTGGTGCTAGATGACGTGAACTTTGATGTGATTTCTGTTTTAAAGTCTTTCTTTTCTTGTTTTCATCTTCCGGCAGACGTATATTGCGTTTGCTTCCTAAATCAACGAATGGCTCACATAAAACGTCCAGAATCAGCTGACAGAGGGAGGGAGGGGCGGAGGGAGAGCTCACCACACGCCGCACGCACCGTTACTTGCCGAAGTCACTATACTCGGCGCCATCTTAGCCTATCTGATGTCAGGTGCGGTGCCGACATTTCTAATCCAATCGTTCTTAATGGCTAAAACTTGTAAGTTATGTGCTAGAGAAAGTTCGGCATTTCCGCTAAAACTACATCAAGGTCAACCTCATCTCCCATGCGCCAGTGATCGATCTAATCTCTAAATATATATATCCACAAACACCATAATACCCGATTTACCAGCTAGGTTCAATTAAGATCAATAAGCAACATTTTTACTCCCAATTCGAGGTCAGTGAATTGTTTAGTCTAAAGGCAAACGTGAACTGGCAGGCTGCAGTCGGGAAGATACAAAGTTAGAGATTAACCTAAGCTTAATTAAGAATAGTCCTATGATGAGTTATTATTATAATTATATAACAAAAAGTTAATATCAGCAACAAAATATAAACGAGCCTTGTGGTGGTTAATGGGTATTATGCATTTAATAGGCAATATATATAATATATATATATATATATATATATATATATGTGTGTGTGTGTGTGTGTGTGTGTGTGTGTGTGTGTGTGTGTGTGTGTGTGTGTGTGTGTGTGTGTATATATCTTTTACATAATTTCGTTATCCAATTACTCACTAAAAGAAAGCCGCTGCAGCCTGCCAGACTCCCAGCAAACGTAAGGGACAGGCGAACGTCCGTGATAATACTGCAGTAAAGCCTATGCTCGCGTGCAGAGAATATTTAAGAAAACATAATCCCAAAATTTGTTCCGTCCTCTCTCTCTCCTCTCTCTCTCTTCTCTCTCTCTCTCTCTCTCTCTCCTCTCTCTTCTCTCTCTCTCTCTCTCTCTCTCTTCCTCTCTCTCTCTCTCTCTCTCTCTCTCCCTCTCTCCCTCTCTCCCTCTCTCCCTCTCACATGCGCACACACGAATTTGGATTATGTTTATGTGTGTGCGTGAGCATGTGTGTGTGTGTGTGTGCGTGAGTGTGTGTAGTTAAGTATGCGTATATATATATATATATATATATATATATATATATATATATATATATATATATAATATATGTATGTGTGTGTTGTGTGTGTCCGTGTGTATCAAATACATGTATGTATATATAATATATATATATATATATATATATATATATATATATATATATATATATGTGGTGTGTGTGTGGTGTGTGTGTGTGTGTGTGTGTGTTGTGTGTAATTATGTGTGTGTATCCAATACATGTTTATGTGTATATATACATACATAAATATGTGTATGTGTATGCGCGAGAACGACTCAGGGAGAGAGAGAGAAATGGTTATATTACACAGTGTGCGTGCGTGTGTTTCTTTCCCTGTCTCTCACTCTGCCTCACTCTCACTCTCACTCACTTATACACTCACATGCACACTCAACACACACATCCCCTTTCTTTCCTTCCGCTTATTATTACAACACCCATATATTTACACCTACAAATTATAT